GTGTACGCTGGCATGCATAACTGATGGTTGTCTGTGCCTTTTGTGCACCAAGTGTGCGTGCACAAGTAACGAGTTTTGGTGCTGAGGTACAGAGAAAAACTACAGAGTCTAACTTGTCCCTGCCAGGGGACTTGATTGGAGGAATCTTGTCGGTGGTAAACAGACGACTGGTGAATGTTATTTAAGTCACTCCATTTTGCACATCAGTGATTTATCCTCTTGATGAGGCTGATGTTGATTACCCCAGAGAGAGTTTTTAAGGTCATCAATGGTGACGCCATGCTGACGTCCTCTTTACTGAGAGAAGCTTTTACAACAGCAAGACAGTGACACTGTAGAGTTACACAGCAAGTACAAAATTTCACATAATTGCTTTAATAAAAAGTTTAATGAACACATTTTTCATGGCAGCCATCATGGAAAGCAATAATGACAAACAATACAGACACTAAAAAACAACCTTGTATTGTTAATTAGACATAGATTAGTTACTGTTGGTGTAGAGGGTGTGATAGTGCAGCAACAAGAACATTTATGCAAAAGTCGATTCTTTAAATTGGACCATATTGCCTTCATGGTGCTGTTTTTGACACAGAAAAGCTCTGTTCATAATTGCTTTGTAGATGCACACACACATAAAGCAAATAGGAGAACAAGTCTTTGGATGTCTTTGCAAAGAAAACTTAATCATGAAGGAAAATCTGGCCACATAATGCAAGGTTTTGATGAAGGCTTTCATGTGACATTTCATTTTCCAGTGTTCCCCTATGATGTTATTTCATAAAAGTGAACCTTTAACAGTTGCTGCTGGTGTAATTTTCTTCTATACACCGCCTATCAGCATTAATACCTATGAAGAGTTGAAACCCACAAGTGGGATTTTTTCACAATCAAAAACTGTTACTATATCTTCTTCTGCAAGGTTGGACTACATTTGTCAAAAGCAACAACTTGTCTCTTCCAGCTGTTTTTAATGGATTTTTGAAAACAGTTGCAGCCTCTGGCAGTAATGTAGGACGAACCTGCAGCAGAACAAACAGCACTAACTTCAGACTGTGAAGAATACCTTGGTGGGTTTAGACTTTTCATATCCAATAGAAAAAAACAAAAAAAACAAATACAATTGCACTGGTATTATTTTCCTTGAAAGCCAGCAGCGCTTGTGCTTCTGCTTTCACTTTGATGCAATCTGGCAAATTTATTATACAGAAAAATTACAGAGGACATGGATTTGTTTTAGTTTGAAGCTTGGTGAAGCAAAACAAAAAGTGATTGACATCACTCATTTGAAAAGTGAGGGAAATATTTCCTCACAATGTTTCGTATTTCTCCTCATTTTTGCTACTCACAAATGAGGCTTTATGACGTTTGCCTGCTTTATTTTTACCACAGGAATTATAGATGCTCTGTGGCTGTGGGAGCTGCTCTGTTTCTGTCCACTGTATGTTTGTAAGTGTCTTTAGCTGTAGCACTACCTCACCATTGTTATTTATTGATACGGCAGTATTCTCCAAAGACTCTTTTTAGCGCAGATGTGAAAGGTACAGTGGTGCTATCTTTGTCTCAGTCTTTCTCACTTGCACCCCCCTTTCTCTCTTTCCCTCTCTCCCCTGCTATCTGCCTCCCCTGGCAGTCTTCACCAGTTTGTGCAGCCTTTACTAACTACCAGCGCACTCCCACTCATAGGAAAATGATGATGAGACAGCAAAACCACCACAAAGACAATGCACAGCGGAAAGAGAGGAAGAGAGTTGGAGAGGGGGAACGGGTTACAGGAAAAGAGAGAGAATGAGAGCCATCAGTCTTTTTTATGCGCTTTTACCACATATATGTTCATCCTCGGGGAGCACTATGTTTCTGTCTAGGCCTCTGCCTCCCTTTCTGCACCTTTTTCTTTATTGTCATCATTCAATGCATTTTCCTCCCTCACCCATCTCCCTCCTCCCACTACTGCAAGTTATTAAATCTTCTCTCACCCCCTTCTTCTGTTTCTCTTCTCCTCTCCTCCCTCCATTCCTCTCTGCCCTGCAACCTTTCTGTCTTGTGCCACTAAGTGGACTGCTTATATAACAGCGTACACCTAGAGGGACTCCTCTCACCCAGCCAGCCTGTTCTTCTCACTCCACCCTTTCAGTCTCCTTCCCTCTTGTTTTCCCCTTCTGCACCACCTTACCTTCTCTTCTTCCTCCAGAGTCATTTTCCCTCCCCCTCTTCCTTTCTTCTCCTGCTTCTGCTAGTGCTGACTTTACGTTTGGAACAAACGCTCCTCCTGCTGTGTAGCTACGTCTAGTGAGTATAAGTGATAACCAAAATAGCAAACAGTGAAGTAACAGGGTTGCATGTTTATCTAGTCCTGAAACGATTACTCAAACAGCAGAAAATTAAATTAATTGATTACCGGTAATTTATTTATTATTTATTTACCGAGCAAAAATGCTAAACCTTCCTAAATGTGGTGCTCAGATGTGAGGATTTGCTTCCTTTTTCTGTGTACATTGAATATATTTGGATTTTGGACTGTGGGCTGGACAAAAGAAGCAATCTGAAGATTGAGATTGTAATAGTCATTTTTCACTACTTCCTGACATGTTAGAGACTAAATGATGTTGCAGTGAATTGTTGCGGCCCTACATCCATCCCCACCTTGTACAGTCAAGCCTCACGGATGCACCAAATAAGACATTATTGTCCATTGTCCAACAATAAGAACAAATGCTGGTGAGTTTGCTGCATTTGCTGTACCGTCTTAGTATTATCCAGCAGCCTTTATCCATAAATACTATTGAGTGCTCAAACACAGACACACAAACACTCTTTCTCCTGCTCTTGTTTCCTTGCATTCAGCTCCTCTCGAACGCCAGCGTCCTCTCACCTATTTCTCAATGACTGCATTTCTCTCCGACTTTGTCTCTCCGCCACTCGCATCCAGGATTCTCCTCATTGCATGTTTTCATATTCAACGCACCCTCTTTCCCCCACTTTCATCTTAGGTCTATCTACTTGCCATTCTCTCTATCCCACACCCATTGTAACTCTTTATCTATCTCTATCCCTCCCCTCTACCCCATCTCAACTCCCCACCACCAACCCCCCTCTCTAAATATAGTCCCTTTGAAGCATAGCTGTGTTGTCTCTTCCAGCAACACTGCAAGACAAAAGTCTGTCATCTCACATCTGAGTAGCGGGGGATAAAAAGCGCAGATAAGATTGATGGCCCAAAAAGAAACACCAGTTAAGAGAATTGATATTCACCTGCCTCAGCATGTGTGGAAACAAAGAGAAAGGTTGGAGATGAAAAGGAGGATGGGAATGGAGGAGAGGACCCCCAAAAAAGGAAACAGTTGTAACGCCACAGCGAGAAAGATGGCGAGACAGAACGAGAAAGGGAGAGAGGTGCTATGACATTCTTGATCCACATTTTGTAATTGAATAATAATCTCTCTGGAGGCCTGACCTAGTAACGTGTGTGTGTGTGTGTGTGTGTGTGTGTGTGTGTGTGTGTGTGTATGCGTGCAGGCACAATGTATACACAGTGAATGGTGGTTGTGAGTGTGTGTGCTCCATTGTATAACAGAAAATGTGTAAGAAAGAGCAGACAACCATGAGAGGAAAAAATGAGTGCAGAGGAGAAACATAATAAGCATAATACAGCACCATATCTCCACCTAGTGGCGAAAATGTGTCATTACAGCTGTAGTTGGCGCAGGTTACACATCACTGCAGCCAAGGACAATTCCCACCTCATCAGCTCACCTGCAGGAGCCCTTCTAATGATTTCTACTTTGTCTAATTACAGATTGTGTAATTTATATAATAAGTATACTTAGTATTATAAACAGCGAAGATCACAGCATGTCAGCTGAATGTGAAATCATATCACATCATTGTCTCAGTTGTTCAGTGAGGAGTCTTAAATCAACTAAAGGTTTACTGTACATTCATGTACATTACACACACACACACACACGCACACACATACCCAACCTTAGAGTGGCCTTCCTTATCTTCTAACAGCGTACTCGTCCATCAGCGGTTACCAGGGGAGCTTGGTCCATCATATGTACCGCGCGCAGGCCGGTTCCCCTGCGGCCAGAGCATACATCGCCACTGACAGGATTTCCTTCCGCATCAATGACCCGGCCTGTAGCTGGCTCAGGGGGAGAGACAGGAGTGCAGATTATCATTCTCAGCACCGTTCTCAGCACTCGCCACGAGGCATTTAGTGATAAAATGTGTGTTTTCTTTTATGCAGAGGGCCGAGAAAGGTGTTATAGTTTCGGTCTTGAAGAGAAGAGGGTGTTAATGTACGCTGAGGGAAAAGTCTGTCTCTGCGGCCTCTTTGTGCTGCTTTTATGATAATTTAAGTAATTTATCAAGTAAAAATCTTAAATATCTATTGCTTTCAGCTTGTCATAAGCTCAGACTCGAAACTTATGGGCATTTTTCACTAGGCTATCTTCGGACATTTATGGACTGGAGAATCAATTGACTAATTGTAAAGATAATTTAGAGGTTAAAAAAATAGTTTGCAACGTTTGCAGAAATCTTTACTCTCTGAGAAGGTCGATATCACTCTTATATCTGTCTGTTCAGCTACAGCCAGGAGATGATTAGCTTAGCTTAGCATGAAGACTGGAAACAGGATGAAACAGCTAGCCTGGCTCTGTCCAAAGCATGGTCCAAAGGTAAAAAAATTTGTCTGTGAGCACTTCTAAAGCGCTAATTAACATGTTATATGTTGTTTGTTTGGAAGGTGTAAAAATGATATGTTGCTGTTTTATGGGGGATTATTTGTTGGCTGGAAGAAGTGCTTTCTGGGATCTGGTTGCCTGGCAACCTCACTCTGTTGACAAGGCTCCAAATGTCCAACTATTCCTTTAACAGATAATGAAAACAATGAATTATTTCCAGTCCTAGTTACTTATCCACATTTCTGTCTTTTTCTTTATTCCACCTCTCCTTTCTCTCTCTTCTTCCTTTGGTCTATATTTTTAATTCAGGCTACGCAGGGAGGGATTCACGGTGCAGGTCAGCGTCAACGACTACCTGGACATCTACTGCCCACACTATAACAGCAGCCAGCGGGGGACGCTTGAGCGCACCGTGGCCGAGCAGTACATCCTATACATGGTCAGCTACCGTGGCTACCGCACCTGCGACCCCCAGATGGGCTTCAAGCGCTGGGAGTGCAACCGCCCCCATGCGCCTCATGCTCCCATCAAGTTCTCTGAGAAGTTCCAGCGCTACAGCGCCTTCTCACTGGGCTATGAGTTCAACGTGGGCCAGGAGTACTACTATATCTGTGAGTCAGGCCAGTAAACAGCAGCGCTGGATTATATTGTGTTGGATGGGAAGAGGCTGAGGATGCTGGAAAAAGGACAGGCGTTGCTGCACTGCAGTTTGCACAGCTGATTGTTTAGGGTGGTGTGACCTGCAGAGGGCACAAGGTTGACACATTGTGTGTGTTTGCGCTTTCTTTCAGCCACGCCCACCCACCACCACGGCCACAGCTGCCTGAGACTGCGAGTCTACGTGTGCTGCTCCACAGGTGAGACCCAACAACCTCCATAGCTCTGTCCCACTCATTTTATACCATTTCCTCTCTTTCTGTGTCACTTCATCTCTACTTTCCTCTCCACTCCTAACTCTTTATATCTCCCAAACACATAGAGAAACAGAGACAAAGAGGCAGAAAGAAACAGACAGAGTGAGAGAGAGAGAAACTAAGATCTGACAGTCTTGTCTCAGAGAGAGGCTTTTCTTTTTTTCACACTTTCTTGGCGAGGTTTTGATGATGGCGTCTTTTCCCGAAGCAGCGCTTTTAGTGTGATGGCTTAATGTTATTCTCAGTCTCAGTGCTATTACAGTAATACGCTATCTCCCTCTCTGTGAATGACATGCTCTCGTGAAGCCGTACAAAAGATGTAAAAGAAAAAAACAGTTTCAGATGCAGGATCCAGGTCTCTATCTGGCCTCCTTCCCTCTCTCTCTGTCACTCTCCATCCCTCTCTCCCCAGCTCTCTTGACCCCCCCCCCGTCTATCTCTTCTCTCTTTCTGGCTCTCTGATGCCTGCTGCGCTTTAGAGTGTGTGTGTTATTTTTACCCTGGTAGCCTGCTCTCTCCCCTGCAGGCCTTTGATCAGGGAGTCCAGTGCTGAATGCCTCCCCCTCTCCTCTAACCTTGTCAGCACTAATACATCCCACACTCAGGCCAGTGTCAGCCCCTGTGTACACATCACCTTAACACACACACCCCCATCCTAGTGTCACGGCTAATCTATTGATGTGTCTACCACGCCTCCATTTGCTTCTGTGTGTGTTTGTGTGCATCAGTGAGTCTGTCTGAGGTGCAGGAGTTTGAGCATGTGGTAGCATGTCAGCTGTAAATCTTTTTAACGTGTGTGTGTGTGTGTGTGTGTGTGTGTGTGTGTGTGTGTGTGCATGAATGGCTATATGTGCATTGGCGCATTTAGTCAGTTTGCAGTCCACAACCTTTACTCAGCAAGGTCATTTTAACAGCTTGCTATCAAAAAGCTGTTGATTTCAGCTGCCTCCAGACCGTTTTTATTTTCTCCACATCTCCCACCTTAAGTTATGAGACTGTAAGATAAGAAAGACATGTGAATATTCATGGCATATGCTTTACATCTGCAAAGAGCTGCAAATTGATTGCTGCCCGCTTCTCTGTAAATGCTGTTAATGCCTCTTAAGTATGCATCAGAATCACAAAGACGTATACACATGCACACCAACCCACACATCATTCATTCATAGATACAGTAATTTGGCAATGCAGACTGAATGTAATTCTGTGTCTAGACTAACAGTAAATGTAAAAATGAGTTATGTCCACTGGTTCCAAATGCTTTTTATCATCAGATGGAAGTCTCAATTCTCAGTCCAGAATTTCTTCATGCTTTCTCAGTGGCAGGGGCACACCAAATGTTCCATGTTCTGCTACATCTGTATGCACATTTTACTCAGTCTTTTCTCAATTTTAATGGTGTGTTTTCTCTCCCTGTCTCTGTCTCTTTCCATCTTTGTTTCTCTCCTTTGCTTTTTATTTCCCCTTCTTCTTTCTGTCTGTCTGTGTGCGGTGTGTTTCTCAGTCTCCCAGGCAGATGATGACTCCAGTCAGACTTCTCCCGACTACACAGTCAGGCCAAACATCAAAATACACAACATTGGTGAGTGACTCTGAAAATGAACAGCAGCCAATTGCCAGATGCTGGTCAATATTTGGCTGTGGCTGCAGTGCTTGATCTGTGTACCAATCATTGTGGAAAGGAAACAGCCATTTGTTAGTGTTTTATTCCATGGTTGACAAAAGAAAATCCATAGCTGGTTGGTGACCAAAACCTTTATTTTCTTGTCTTGAGCGTTGCACAATATGGGAAAGACCATGGACATTGCAAAGTGATTCAGCAGTAGTGAAAAAAAGTCTTAGATACATACTGTATACTGTATTTACAATATTTCCATAATTTACTGTATACTATGCACCATTAAAGGTTAATTCCAGTTTATTGCAACTTGAGTCTTAATTTCATAGTTTTTCCGTAGTTAAATTTCTATTGTTTATGATAACATGAAAATCACCAAAGTAATATGGATGCATCAAGCCATTTGCGGAAACATTAATTCAGTCATGACTGGATGCTAACTCAGTTTTTAGTGCAATCCCAGGCCTCGTGTTGATAAAAATGTATTTTAATGACTTGTACACTATGAGGTATTCAGATTACAAATTTGGGCAGCGCTGAAAAAGAATAATTAGTATTGGATTGATTCAATATTATACATAGCAGGTAAACTAAGTTAAGTTATCAGAATGGGAAGCAGGAGAAAAAAGGCAGGCTGATGCAAGTAATTGTTGATATCTGGGAACACAGCTCTCAGACAATCAGGTTTTAATAAGAAAACAGTTTAGCCAGATTATAAAAACCACTTTGCTTGGAGGTGCAGTACAGTTGAACCATTGAGTGCTACCAAAATGTAAAAATCCATAACTGAACAGGACACTGCTTACAACTATGACACACAGTAGGTCAAAGCTGAGCCGAGAAGGTGATCTGTAAACTAGGATGGATGTGAACAAAGGACAGCTGATTCATTTTAGTGTTCGCCCTCCTTTTCTCTCCCAAATGTGTGTTTGTTTAAAACAACACTCAGACTTTTTTTTAGCTGTGTCGCAATGTACCCGATCTTGAGGTAAGTACAATGTTATGAAGACAGATTAGACTGATGCCCAGAACTATAAAAATAAGAAATTTCCTTGAATGTTTACTTTACCCCCTACAGTGTACCACACACACACACACACACACACACACACACACACACACACACACAGGTAAAACTTCCTGTTTCCTCTGAACAAATCCACAAGGTCAGTAGAGGTCTTGTAAGGAATGAAAGATTCATGTTTACCTAAGCAGAAAGCATGTCAGCGAGCAAGTCAATTGTGCAGCTGAGTGGTTACATAAACCCTCTATTTTTCTCTCTCTTTCTCCATCCTCATCTAAAACAAAAGGCTCTTGCCGGGAATCATTTAGTATGCTTGTTTCTGGGAGCTGTGGGCAGTGTGTGACGAGGGCTTAGAGAGTGTGACCTCCCTGAGATGGAAACTGAGACCAGCAGAGACAGAGTGAAGAGAGCTCTTGAGCCATCAGCAATGAGTACCTTCAGAGAGAGTGTGAGAAGGCAGAGGAGAGAGACAGGGGAGAGAGGGGGGGGGCTGGGAAGAGGGCGAAAGAGAGACAAAGCGCGAGAGAGAGAGAAAGTCAGAGAGATAAAAGACAGGAAAGAGGCAGTGAAAGAGAAATGCAGCAGGAGAAAGCCTGACAGAAAAAGGGACAGATAAGGCAGAGAGAGAGACAGAGAGAAACAGGCAGAAAAAGAGATAAAGCCAGAGTGGGGGCAGAGGAAGGGGGTGCGGCGAGAAGGGGCAGAGGAAGAAAGAAAAGCTTGGTGGTGGGCGAATTGCTCAGCAGTAACTCAGACTCAAGCTTACATAGAATTTAATATAAAAAAAAAAAACACACACACTGGCAGGGAATCATAAAAAATCATAGCCTCTAGCGTTGTGATGCATTTTGCTGAATACATTTGGCGGAATAACAAAATCAGGACACACAGATTTATGCACGCTCACAAACACACATGCTTAAAAAACAACCCATACCCCTGATGGCCCTGCTGACCGCTGGACACCCACTCTCTGACTCACCCTCAGGACCAGACCAGCCCACAGACTGGCTTAGCATCAACACATCTCTCCCTCTCTCTCCACATATGTTTGGACTTGCTGTCATCCTCGTTTCTTTATTCTTAGCTTTGCTTCTACGTCACATTTTCCTTATTTAACACGGTGCTTTAAGGATAATTCTGGTCTATTACAACTTGGGCCATGTTTGTGCAGTTTCTGCCTTCATTTCTGTGGGTAATAACAAGACTGTTCTCACCAAGTTAATTGCTGAGATCGGGAAGCATGGTAACATTGCTAAAGTCAGGCAGGGCAAGGCACGTGAGCAGTTAAGATGATCATACAGATTTAAACAAATCCTCAGGTGAGCCAAACTTACTTAAAAAAGAAAAAGTAGAGGCCAACAATAAAAATATTACCCAATCTGTCTGCTGTAAACATTCGTCACAGCTTATCATTTATGAAAGGAGACTCCACCATTTGCAATCTTTCTGTAAGCAGTGCATGCAAATCACTTTTGTGAAAAGGGACGCTGTTGGCTTGTTTACAGCCTGCCTGATCATCTGACTCACTTGTCTTTCATGCCCCATCAGTGTTTCTCAACTCTCAGCAATTACTTGTCCACTACGTAACATAAACTACAAAACGCAAGTTGGATTGACTGGAGTTTTATTTTCGTAACTCATTGCAACAACCTCTTATGAATAGCAGAGATTAGTTATAGCAGGGCCTCTTATAGCAAATGACTTATTGCCACAAATGTACTACAAGAATTCAGCATCAATCTTGCTGCTCACTGCTTAAATGAATCATAACTTTAGTTTCCTGTAGCAAAGCTTAGTGTACAATGTGCATTCCTCCATCTGTGACATCCAAACTATATTGAGTGTCTGCAGCAGTAGTAGAGGGCTAAAGGCTGCAACATAGATTAGGTGGTGGACCAGATCATTTCAAGATGGATCAATAGGCACCGGCACCCCTGACTGGTGTGTTACGTGAAGATTATCTCAAAATCAGTCAAAAATATAGTTGTGTTGCACTGCGCAGACTAAAAGCCTTCATTCAGTATGTGCAGTCTGTACACTCAGTGACCAGAAGAATTGAAACCTTTAGTAGCAACTTAACAACGTGTGTGTAGACATAACTACACAACAGACATTTCGATTCCCATCATTCATTCATTCAGCTGACAGTGTGTTCATGTTGGTCATTTTCTTGGGTAGGGGGTTCTTTTGTTTAGTTTTGGTCTAACCAGTCAGTAGTGAGTGATGTATCCATCCTGTTGATGACATTTTCAATTGACAAATAGCTGTTGCATGGAACAATTAAGTTTAGGCTTTTCAGGACGATCAAAGACATTGGCAGATTAAAGCGATGTTCATTCTGTTTTTGGTCTTACAAGAAAATGCATCTGCATCTATCTCATCCACCCGTGTTTCTGTCTGCAAATCTCTGATTTGGTCGACTGTTTCTCAAATAATTGCTTGACGGCTTGATGTCCCTTTCTTTGGCTACTTTCATTCCAGTGGTTTTATTGGGAACAATATCAACTGTCATTTCCCCTGAATGTTCCTCAAACTGTTCCAGGACGTATTGATACTGATTGAAGAATTGATCTAATCTAAGTCAGCCAGTCGAATGCCCTCCACACTAAAACACCTCCCTCACTGACCTGTAGAGCTGTAACCTTACATGATGGGTCCATCGCCTCATGTTTTTTATGCATCACTGCAAGTCTACCATCGCTGTGGCGGAGTTGGCACAAAGAGTTATCAGACCAGACAACCTTTTTCCACTCATCGACAGTCTAGAGCTGATGTTTCTTATCTCACTGTAAATGCCTTGGGCGGTTTACTGTGGACAGCAGAGCTACCCTGCAAGCTTGTCTGTTGCTATACCCCATACAGACAAGACTGCGCCGGATTGTGTTCTCAGAAATTGATTGCTGCATCCCACAATTGTACTGTGATGTTAGGTGTCATACTGTGCACCTTTGATAACTTGTTATGGCCCGAGGCAACCAACGTCCCCCACATTCATCTTCCAAGGGCGTCCTCCCTAAATAACAAGGGTTTTAAAGAGGTGCATATTGTGCAGCTTTGTGATTGTCAAAGCTACCTGCACCCACAAGCAAGTTTGTGACACTGCACAAAATGAATCAGTTCACATGCAAAGCAACTGTGGAAAAGGAGTTGTGGCTGCATATACTTTTTTTTATGTAAGGGAGAGCTCACCTCATCTGCAGGGGAAGGGTGTATCTTCTTCTGGTCACTGAGTGTACATTTTACTTCTGGAGCCTCTCTTATGAAACCTTTTGGAGAGAGAAAGCGAGTGGTGTGAAGGCCCCGCTCTGACCTGTAGGCCCTACCTGAGGCAATGCTGCTTTAGGTTCTCCCTCCTGCCTTGCCTGCCTGTTTTCTTTTTGAGCACATCATGGTGCACTGCGGTGTGAATGTCAGTGTCACGTGTCATCGACACAGAAAGAGAGGCCTTGCATTCAACTCTGACGTAGGCAAACATCTCACACAATCTGGACAAACCTGAGCAGTTGGATGGTTTTCTCTGTTATCTCTTATCACCTTCTTTGTTTTTACTGTGGCCATTATATTTAGCAGACTCCAGACGAGGATTTAACGTCACAGTGAAACAGCATTTTGAAGACATCTTGCTCTCTTAATTTGATTCATTTCCTGCTTAAAGTCAGTTTGATTTGATGGAAGTGAAATTTAGTGGCTAGAACTGTTCTGCACTGGGACATCACGATGACAAGATAATAAAGTAAAAGTAGTGGAATTTTAGTAGACAAACACAAGATTTGTGTCAGTTTCTGGGCACTATTTGTCAAATAGATATATCCTTTCAAGTATCAAAACAAGTATTTTTCATCTCTCCAGTGTGATTTTCAGCTGTTAAACCTAAATAATTTCCTAATCTTACAATGAAACATCAGTATGTCACATATCAAGGCTTTAAACTCTTCACCTACATTTCTCTTTTATGTCTGAAAGAACAAGAAATTACAGCTTTCTGCTGCACTTAGTTAGATTACATGATAAAAAAGAACAGGTTTCTCCTAACATCTAAATGCCCCTAGCCCAGGTTGTCCTTAAACCTGCGATGGATGTGTAAGCAACAGAGCTCTGTTTTGTTCATTTTGCTTTATTTTGGCATGTAATAACCTTCTATATATAATGGGAAACATTATGTCGAGACAAGAGCATAATGACTCTGTAATACGCTTTTTACAGAATATTACAAAATGTGTTCTACCAGCTCTTTCTCCGTCTTTCCCCTCCAGCTAATGTTCTGTTGTGCCTAATCAATGGCAATGCCATAGTAATTTGGTTTGATTGAAATCCCTCAAGGATAAAAACATCATTAGTGGGGAAAGTGGGATACATGAAAAAAAAAACAGATCGGAAACAAAGGTGTTTTTAATTTTCCATCCCATGGGGGAAATGGCCATATGTACCAGTGATGATGATAATTGGTGGTTTGTTGATAATTGCATCATGTCTCTTACTTTGCATAAGTTAAAGCATAATTTGCATGCATCACACAATGCCTTTAGATTGATGAATTAATAATGTAGTAATGGTTCGTTTCCTACTGTCTGGCACACACACGCGCTCTCTCACTCTTTCACACTCACGTTCTTCTCTTCACTCACTTTGTTATTTTCTCTTTTTGTGTCTTTCTCTCCAGATGAATTTAACCCTGAAGTTCCCAAACTGGAGAAAAGCGTCAGTGGCAGCAGCCCATCACGCGACCGCCTTCTTCTCACAGTGGCAATGCTGCTCATGTCTGCCGTGCTCTTGTCCTAGCGACTGTCACCGTGAGTGACACTTCATGCATACCTGGACTGCCTCGTCCAAAGGGCTTTGTATCCACCAAGTTGTTGATGTGAAAGTTGGCAGAAACACGGAAGAGAATCAAGTAGAGGTGATGCAGAACCAATAAAGAGGACACAGAAAAAAATCTTGAACTCAACTGGACTTTAAAAAGGAGAGGCCTTTTTGCTGTCATATTTACACCAGTGTATTTTGACACGCCATCTGTTGTTGGACATTATTATCATATGAATACCACAGCATTTCATGCAGGTGTGTTTGCCACAACATGGAGACCACAACCAATATTCAGAATCCAACTTCTGTGCTGCTGTCATGCCTGACACCCAACAGGCGAGTGCGAAAGTGGACTTGTAATGAGTTGGATGTAAACTATACACTCGTATTGTAGCCTGGAAATCAATTCACCTGAAGAATTTAAGCTGCACTGTCTTCGGCTGATGAAAGCAAGTTTTTCATAGCTGTAAGCTTTGAAGAAGGTGGCAAACGTGGACTTTGCATGACTTGGACATTTGGACCACGGACCAAGTATGCTAATGGCTAAAACTCAGATGTAGTGAAGAGCAAGCTGGACTCTGGAACTGTACGGATCTTACCTTGGCTATACAGGATATTTATCGAATCAGTCAGTGATGAGAACTGCTGCCATTGTCCTGGGCAATGAGGAATGTTTTCACAGTGGTGTGAGTGAGCTGCTGGTAATGAGAACCCAAGATGTTTAAGAAAAGCGAAAGACTGAGTGAGGATATATGCTGGCCTTTCAAGAATCCATTTTCTCCAGACATCTAAATACCCCTGGTTTTGTGATAGGTACAGATGCAAAGCCTGCGTTTCTTACAGGATAGCAAGTACCCTCTTAGAACTAGTCCTTTGTCTGCATTTCCTGCCTTCACACTGAAACGCCCCTAGAAAAATACAGACCCTGGACTAGTAATTTGGCGGCACTTAGGCTTGGTAGATGTGTGTTTTGTTCCAAAGCATTTACCTTCAGCACCTCGTGTAGATTTTCCGGATGTCAAACCTTTCTCCTCATAGCAATCAGCAGAGTCATTCAGAATAACACTAATTTACAATTCTTAAAAACCCTTTCTCAGCAGCAAGTTCCCTTTTAATCCCAGACAACCCTGTCTAGTCTTTTTCCACTTCAGAGGCTCCCAGCCAATCAGTGCTGATGGCCATTACAGCAGTCACAGTCACCATGGAAACGACCCCATACAGTCGCCAGAGTGCGGCAGGTGCCTGAGGAGAAATTGTGCTTTGAGTCTCAAAGTAAAGCTGCCGCCATTTTGTTAATAAAAAAAAAAAAAAAAACACGTGTGAATGTGCAACTAAAGAGTTCACTTTTTTATATTGTAATACAGGACAACGTAGGCTGGCATTTATCAAATTACAATGTTGTGCTTTTTTAATTGATTTACATTTAAAATGTATTTATTTTAACATTAAAGTATATTATTTATCTACCTAATTTATTAGTGTGCATTTTTAGGTCTATGTCTTTGCTCAATAAGCTATTGTGCCATTTTTTTATTCTTTTTTTTAAACAGTGGAATTTTTACGGCAGCATTTTGCTTATGTAGATAAATAGTCAGATGTAATACAGCCTGACAAAAAGAGAGGGTTATTGTTTATGGCTAATCAGTAGGGATGTACACTCCGTAACCCTACTCTTATGTAACAGACACTGCTAACCAGATTATGTTGCTGAAGAGCATGTCATAAACCAACTGTGAATGCACAGACAGCCGATGTTGATGGAAGGCAGCATTCCTCAAGTGCTGCACTTGCGAAAAGAAACAGTCTGCATTGTACTGTATATTTATAATACATGCCGGATATGGAATGTGCGTGTGTTTGAGTCTGTGTGCGTGTGTGGCTTTAGCTGGCTGCTTTCCTGCGTGTGTGTGTGCGTGTGTGTGTGTGTGTGTTGGGGGGGGGGGGTGAGCACGAGAAAAAAAAAAAAAAACATATGTGTGCACATTTGTGTGCGTATGTATGTAGAATGTGTTTGTCCGCGCTTTGAGTATGTGGCATTTAGAAATTTCGTACCTGTTAAGGAGTCGTTTGTAGGATCTGAATATGCAAGTGTGTATGAGAGAATGTGCTCTTCTGTAATGTTAGTTTACGTTACGGGGTTTGGAAAGCAGTCAAAAAGCATTTACTGATGTTAAAGACAACCACCAGAAATGTGTTTACCTTTGACAAGAATGAATAAAAAAAAATGTAAATTGATTCAAGAATGATTAAAACAATGCCAATTAAAATCTTTTTGCATATTTACTTTTGTGTATGTGTTTGTGCATGGCAGACTGTACTGTGTCGTTCTCTTACGCCTCCATCTGCCCTTTGTTTATCTTAACAGTGACTCCTTCACCTTCACTCACCCGGCACTCACTTCTGTTTGTTTCTTTCTCTTGAGCACTACTTGAACACTCCCTCTTTCTCTCACACTGCGCTTTTAGATATGTTGGTTGTGAGCAGACATGTTAACAGACAGCACTTTCGCTGCACGTACTCTTGGTGTAAAACTATCACCCTTTCTCACTTGGCCCATCCTTACAGTGCCTCACTTCGGTTTCACAAACACTTCTTCTGCCATAAAACATAATGACAGCGTGGAGGGAAAGTCACGGATGCACGTCTCCCACTCTATTCTTCTCCAAAAAAACCTACACACCTGCAAGCCATTCATGTCTCCACAAATCTGTCTCCCTCACTGCTCTCCTTTCCCTTTGCTCCTTTCAGCTTCTTTCTAATCTTTTTACGCAGAACAGAAAGAAGCTGACAATAGGGAGGGACACATGTCTCAGATGCACTAATGTCCATGTCAAAAGGGACAGAGGGGGCAGATAAGAGTTTGTCTTTGATGTTTCACATCAGGCGTGATATCACATGAGAGAGAAAGAGAAAGTAGTAGAGCAGATTCTGCTGTCGGCTGTCAGCCTGTGCTTCTCACTTCCAGACCTTGGTCAAAGAGTGTCTGCAAGTGTGTGTATGTGTGAAGGGGACCAGTGCCGAGACATTTTCAAAGCTAATTTAATATACTTCATGTGATTGACAATTCACTTGACAAAATGGGAGTCACACTTAACCAAGCATTTTATCTATTAATATCACAGCTGTTTGACTCTGCCGTGAGGAGCAGCTTCTGATTCTGTCTGACATTTGTGCATTAAACTGAGAGACTGATAATTGCTGAATATTACAGTAGGCCTTGGCTGACATATCCCTTGCCTATTTATAGGTTTGGACTTGCACACGTAAAGTTTCAGTGTTTTGACACGGGGGAACAGGGGAAAGGTTTTAGCTTCAGCTCCAGGGTCTGAGTTGACAACTTAAACCATTATTTTGCAGGAAATCGCCCTGCTTCGTTTTTGGCAGTGAGGCTGTCTCTGGTTAGTTATATAAGGGAATTAACACTGTCATATTTACACCTTAAATTCATGCCTGGAAAATCTCATGTTCTTCTTGTGCCTAAATGAAACATTAATTGATCTGCTTACTATTCAAATGAGAGGATCAGGAATGTTGCCAGTGGATTAAAAATGCCTACCTTTCCCCGAGCAGCTGACACAGAGCCTCAAGTTTCCACCATGAAAGAGATGTCTAACAAATGCTCTGCCCAGACTCTAAGGAAGACATTCCATTAGCAAAAAGGGATGACCTCTTCTCCGTTTGGAGGCATATTATCGTTTTCTGAATCATTTACTGTGAGATAAGCCATCTGTAGCATGGGCAGGCCTGTGCCGTCAAGAAGAATTCCCCTGACAAGCTGCACCGTCTGGCCCAAACAATGAAACAGATGCCTCCTCCTCAGAGAACTTGCGATAGCACAGGACATCAATGAGGCAATCAGGGAGACTGCGTTCAAGTGCTCCTTGGAAACTCCATTTCAAGTTTGGGAGTCATAAAATTGAATTCAAATGCATCTTAACAGAAAATGATGTAAATGGCAAAATCTAGGTTTATTAAGTTAATAGCACAAGAAATTAATTTGGCAGATGCATTTGCCCAAAATCCCCACCCACATACAGAACACACATATCAGTGGTTGCTAAATTTTCAACAGAGGGAGGCAGGATGTGAACACCAATTATGACCAGTCTGAGCAACCACCTGAGCTACTGCTTCCCTGGGAGGCATTTTAATTTTTTTGCCACGTGTCCATCAACTACACATTAAACAGAGTGAACATGAAAACATATATCACTGCCATTTACACAAAATGTTTCTATTTCATATTCTACTTTCTTTGCTGCTCTGCTTGTATTTCTGATATTTATTTTTTAATTGAAATGCTTTGCAGTTGCTGCTATGCCTCTTCCTTCTTTATGCCATTCAGTGCCTTTATGCCTATGCTCATGTTAAATCATTACCTGCCTTTACTACCTTTTTATTATCTTTGACCTTTTTCGGAAGTATAACCAGTAAGGGTTCAGTTTCATGTGCTCTCTTGTGTCAGGTTTCTAGCTCCACTTTCAATACAAAAGTATGATGGGATGGAAAACATCTCTACCAGTTGCTAGACAGATAATGATGAAAATATTCTACACTTCTATTTGACATTTAAATCAGTGCAACCACCTAGTCTACTTTCCACCCATAGGTGTCGCCAAAGCTTTCTCTCGTTCTGTTTTTCTGCTGGAGAAACTGCCAGTGAGATGCATACAGGACATCTGAAAAACATTATATAAATAGATTTACTGGAAGTATGTTTAAGATAAGATAAAACTTTTATTCAGAAAAACAATGATGACAGCACTGAGTTGGTTTGTGTATTATGTGGCCTGCGCCCCCTAAATAGATTACACTTGATTCATTGAAGCAGGTCTGCATACATGTAAGCTGCAGAAGTTTAATAGGATTAACATTTAATATCTCCCCAAACTCAATCAGGGAGTTTAGTGTGCCATCACTGTGGCCAAAGTTTGATTCATGTGTAATGGTGCCAGTGAGACTGCTCAGGGACATCCAGCATAAACAACATCATGAATCAGTAGACGAAAGTTACAAAAAATAAATCAGGTTTTAAATAAGGTCAAAGGCAACATAGGGCAAAACAAAAGTAACCTGTAGAATATTGTTTCTTATGTAATTGTTGAAAGGATGAGCTGACCTATGGTACTATTTCTCTCAACCCTTCAGGATTATATTAGTTTGTAAATCAGTCATCACAGATTAAGACAAGAATAAACCTTTTTTCCATGTAACAGATTTCCTGTATTAGAATGTCAACTATTTCTGGTTTATGTGGAAATCTAAGTTTATCCTTCTATTAATCTGTGCTTATGTTGCTTTCTTTAATATTGGGCACAGCCAATATTTTTTTACAGTTCACATGTAATTCTGTCAGTACAATAAAGTATTGTACGCAGAGCCGTACCTACTATTGAAGGTCTTGTCCTCAGTATTTCTTCTGAAGACTTGGGGTTTTAGCAACCGGGGGAGTTTGCATTCTACACTTAAAAGTAGGCAAACACTTGCATATTTTATAAACTGATTCCAGTATATTTTAGACTTCATATAATTTGTTTACTTTTAGGCAAACAAATAAATACATCAATAAAGGCTTCAATATTTTCCCACCACATTTTGATGAAACAAGTTTATTAAATAGGATAAACCCCTTGAGATGAACCATCTTGTTTTTGAATGGTTTATAAATTTTCCTGGGGAGGAGGATTTAAAACTGCATTTAGAACTTCATTTAGGAAATAAAATGTACATATAAATGAATCATTGAATAAATGTGAAAATCCAAATAATAAAAAAAATTGTTAGGGCCTCTCTGATTGTCTAAATTTCAAAAGCTTTATGAAAAAAAGTTACATTCTGTTAATTTTACAGAATAATTATTTTACCTTACCTAACGGTATTATCATGGGAAAACAGAAAAGTGCAAAAATGTGCAAGGGTGGTGGTCATTGTTCTGTACGACCAGCTCACTGGATTTGTTGAAATATTGCTGTTAATGTTGTGCTGTTGTCCCCAACGTTTGTCCATCTTTCCCTAAAATGTAGCCTACAGTTAAGTTTAGGGAATAAAAGGATCTTATCTTGTTTTTTGCCAACTTGCCTCATTTATTCTACAATGTAGTAGCACAATACCTTTTTTTCTGGAGCAAAGCCCTGCTTAAGTTGATATTTACATAGACAGACTTAAACATTACTCTGTCCTCGCACATCTCCAGTGGTGGAGAGAGCATTCAGATCCTTCAAGCACCGACTCGCCCGGTACGGGGAAGGACAATCAATTTTGCGCAAAATACAAGTGAGAAATCCATGTCTGACCCTAGTATTTTTTCACCCTATCCATGCGGCACACCTCTGTGAAGCTAGGAAGCTCAGCCAGAATCTCAAACAAACCATTTTTATCCATACCAAACACACATCAAACACCAAGCGTCTAAAAGAGCTTATATCACAACATAAATCGCTCTGTAAACACTATACATGGCTGCAGTTATTGCCATCTAGATATCTCTCATCTCATCCTCCAGCTCTAGCTCTGATCAGCTGTGTACTCATATCACTCAAATCACCTAACTCACAGATAATAATGATAATATAATAATGCACCAACATCAGACATTCGCCTGGTGTATTTTTGAAAAATTGTGTAATAACTGTTGTATATTAGTTTTTTATCAGATTTACAGTTGTATTTAGGGATGGGGATCGTTAATTTTTATTGATATCCTTATTGAGACTGCTTAATGATCTGATTCTTTATCGATACTTTACTATTATTTAGTGATGGTTATTTGGTAAGACCATACCCAATGAGGTAGGCCTGCACGGTATGAGGAAAATATTCAATGTGCGATAACGTTATATATTGAGATGACATATCACTTGCAATAAATAAACATATATTGAAGTGTACAAATTAACTGCCTGGTTGTTTTTAATTTGATATTTTAAATATAGCTAAATGTTGTTTCTAGAGCAGCAACATTAATGTTTACAACAGCAAAGTAACTCAATAACTATGTGACATCACAAGTAGTGAGTGACGTTTAGAAAGAACAACATCAGTCTGTATCAGTCCCTCCTCCTCTCTCGCTGGCTGCAGGTAACGTTACCAGGTAGAAGGAGAAGCGGCTGGTTTGTCTCAGGCAGCAGCTGGGTTTTTAAGACTACAGACCAGTCTGTGCTCCAGATAAGACAGTGTCTGGAGCACAGTGTTAGCTAGCTTGTATAAAACATACAGGATGAGATAATGATGACAGAGATGATTAAATTAACCATTTCTACATTAACGTTACGTTACCTTAGAG